TGGCTGGCGCCTTAGCCGCTTGAGCCATACGCACCGAGCCTCAGGGTGGTTTTGATTTGCATTTTACTGATAATTAGGGACAATGATCATTTTTCCCTATGTTGTTAGCCATTCGTCTGTCTTCTTTAGAGAAGGTTCTGTTCATCTCACTTGCCCGTGGATAGAAGGGATTGTTGATTCATTTTTTGTTGCTTAATTTGAGTTCTCTATAGATTCTAGTTATCAAGCTTTTGTCCGATTCATAATATGCAGGTTCTGATGGTCGTCTGTTTGCCTTGCTTGTTGTCTCCTAAGCTGTACACAAGATTTTCAGTGTAAGTCCCATTTGTATTTTTGTTGTTGGCGTTACCCCTGGAATCTTCTTCATAAAGTCTTTCCACACGACGATACCTTCGATTGTTATTCAAGGATTTTTATTGATTCATGCCTTAGATGAGACAGTTATTATACCTGTAACAAAAGGGAGAAAAGGGTTGGGTCGTCCACACCTGACCACTGGACCCAGATGCTCCCAGGTGCCACTCTGTTGCTTGACGTAGTCAGACCTGAGTGCACGTTCTTACCTGGAAGGTCACACGGGTTGTCCCTACACATGTCCAGGCTGGCCGTGTCTCACTTTCAAACCCAGTCCCGAATTTCCTTTTGCCGGTCATGCTGCACAAGTTACATCATTCCGTGGGAATCTCTCATTTCAAAATCCTGAATAAAATCGTGAAGACAAACTCAGAAATTCCCGAGCGTCCAATTTTACGCTGAGAGGCTGAATCATACTAATCTTTCAGCCTTTGGGTCAGAGCAGTGTACACGTCATCTTTCTGATGGGGCTGTTTTCTCCAGCAAGGAAAGCAAATTAAAAGATAAAAAAAAAAAAAAAAAGGTGGGCAGTGCCTGTGGCTCAAAGGAGTAGGGCGCTGGCCCCATATGGCCGAGGTGGCAGGTTCAAACCCAGCCCCCAGCCAAAAACTGCAAAAAAAAAAAGATAAAAAACAAAAGCAGCCTTCATTGACAGGCTTCCCAAGTAGCTCGTACCCAAGGACGATTACTGAAAATACAGCAAAACCTTTTTCGTGTCTGTGGTTGTTTGGTTCCATATGAAATGATATAGAGATTCCCTGTGATGTGGTTCTCACGTGGCCTGTCCAAATCCCACCTGCTGGTGACACCTGTCTGTTTTTATTTGTAGAACGGCGCTAACGACGTGAAACGGCATCGCTGGTTCCGCTGTGTGGACTGGGACGCCGTCCCACAGAGAAAACTTAAGGTACAACTACAGATTAGTGTCACCTGTACAGTCATCTCCTGCTTCCTCTTCAACCAAGTTTCCTCTTCCACGAGGGTCTCAGAGCCACCCTTCTAACATATGGGGTCAAACCATGTATTTTTTTTTTTAACTCTGCTCTTTAAATTGGTACATACCATTTGTGCCTATTTATGGATGAGATATCAGTATCTTGATACGTATAAAATGCATAAACTATGTCATGATCCAGTTTGGTATTAAGGGTCCCTGTCACCTCAAACATGTATCATTTCTTGGCCTCGGGAACGTGTGAAATCTTCTCCCCTCGTGCTCTCTCGAAATAAGACAGTCTATTGCCGTTAGCTGCGGCTGCCTGACTGTCCTGTCATACGCCAAAACGTATTTCTTTTCTCCTACAATATGTCTGCATTGCTCCCTGGCCTCTGTCCCCTCCCTCCTGCCTCCCCGCATCTGGAAACCATCATTCTCCTCTCAACCTCTGCTAGACACGTTTCTTTTTTTGGCTTGCCCATCAGTGAGGACGTGCGATACTTGTCTTTCTGTGGCCTGGTGTATTCCACTTAATATAACGACCTCCAGTTCCACCAAGGTTCCTGCGAAAGAGACGATTGTTATTTTTTTCATCCTCCAATAATATTCCACTCACTTCTCATTGGCCACGAGTCCCTTGATGGACACTTGGCTATTGGGAATAGCCCTGAACTACCTGTGTCTTTGGTAAAACTGTGGCAAAGCAGTGTCTTCAACTTAGCAGTTTAGATTCAAGGAGGGGGCTCGGCGCCTGTGGCTCAAGTGGCTAAGGTGCCAGCCACATACACCTAAGGTGGCAGGTTCGAATCCAGTCAGCGCCCACCAAACAATGATGGCTGCAACCAAAAAATAGCTGGGCGTTGTGGTGGGTGCCTGTGGTCCCAGCTACTTGGGAGGCTGAGGCAGAAGACTCGCTTGAGCCCAGGAGTTGGAAGTTGCTGTGAGCTGTGATGCCACAGCACTCTGGCCAGGGAGACAGCTTGAGGCTCTGTCCCCTCCCCCCCAAAAATAGATTCAAGGAGGGAAAAAAGCCTTAGAAATGCTGATTACTAAGCCTGACCCCAGACCTAGCAGAGCCCTGGGGTGACACCCTGGATGCCAGGTTTCATTTTGTGCCCAGTTTTAACTTTTCAATGTTTTATCAGATTAAATACCATTTTTCTCATAAAAGCTATTTGAACAGGCTAGATATTCATGTTGGTTGGAAACCAGGTCAGTATTAAAAGGTATACACTGCCAAGTCTCCCTCCAAGCCCCTTGCAGGCAATCACCTCTTATTAGATTTTTTTATATGTCCTTCCAGAGTTTCTTGATGCAATTAAAACTCCATATGGAGAGGTGTATTTTTATTTCTTCTGCATTTATCAGAACCTAGAGAAATTAATGCTATTCTTTTCTTTTCTTTCTTTATTTTAGAGACAGAGTCTCACTATGTTGCCATTGGTAGAGTGCTGTGGCATCACAGGTCACAGCAACCTCCAACTCTTGGGCTTAGGCGATTCTCTTGCCTCAGCCTTCCAAGTTGCTGGGACTACAGGCGCCCACCACAACACCTGGCTATCTTTTTGTTGCAGTTTGGCCAGGGCCAGGTTTGAACCCATTACCCTTATTATATGGGGCCGGTGCCCTAGTCAGTGAGCCACAGGCACCCCCCTTCTTTTCCTTTTAGTTTCTTTTTTGGGACCAAGTTGCATTCTGTTGCCCAGGCTACAGTGCCGTGGCATCACCCTAGCTCCCAGCAACCTGAAACTTATGAGCTCAAGCAATTCTCCTGCCGCAGCTTCCAGAGTAGCTGGGACTACAGGTGCCCACCACCACGTAGTGCTAATTTTTCTATTTTTAGTAGAAATGGGGGTCTCCTTG